CAGTGCTGGCAGGCGGCCAGGGAAACACATCTGCAAATGCCAGGCAATGGAGTGTCATTGTTTAGGAGTTGGAGGGCCATCCTTTCCCGTGCCTTTGAGGCAATTTTCTCCCATGACACACTATGTTTTGTCTTCCTGAACCTTTAAGCTCCAGATGTGGACAGCAGAGACCTGGCTCGGGCCCATTCCTTTAGAGAGTGCTCGGATGGTTACTGAAAGTGACACTTTTCTAATTATTCTGTCAAGCATCAATCTCGGAAGTTCCCAGTTCCTCAGCACTCTGACTGACAGGGCAATCAGGGCTTTACTGAAAGCATAAGCACCAACTTCTCCTGGCTTGCGAGAGCTCCCCATGCAGTGACCGAACAGAAAAAATCAAGACTGGAAGAAGGTGAGAAGTCCTCACACGAGTGAAATTTTAAGTGTGTGCACACACCCCTCTTGGGAATAGACCTTTTGTAGTTGGAATCCCTTTGAAATGGGGACATCCTCAGCTCTAAGGCATGTATTTACAAATCTCAATCATCGTGGTTAGGATTTACTCTACACTCTGGTGCCAGGACATAATAACATCTCTCAGTTATGTGAAAATTAAAAAACAGAAACCTCTTTTGAAATGGAGTCGAGAGACCAGAAGGGAGAGCTCTCATGGATGTACCACTCAACATCAATTACAGACCCCAACAGTAAGAGACATACTTTGTATCTCTGACAAGAAGTGACACTACTTTTCTACCCTACCTGGAGAGAGGAAGATTTTCTCCCTGCCTGGCAACAGCCCAGCCAATGAGAGACTGTCACAACTCAGCCGATGAAAAGCCACTACATTTCAATACCCAGCTTCCTCCAATGGATTCTCTGTTTATAAGAGCCCCTCCCAACTCCTCCTTTTCCTCTAGAAAGAACTTCCTCTCCTGTGTTCTCTGGACTTGCCTGTGGTTCACCATAGATTGCATGTCCCAAATTGCAATTCTTTGCTGTTCCCACATAAACCCATTTTGCTGGTAAAATGACTGGGTGTTATTTGTTTTAGGTTAACATTACGTGACTGCTGAAAATTTAATCCAAAGGCACAGGAAAAGAGCCAATGTCAAAGATCTCTGTAGCTCAAGGCAGACCAGTGTGCTCAGGGGTGGAGCAGGAGTCTAGACCCTCCCAATTCCAAATCAAAACTTTCTTGATACTGGGCTTCTAAGGGAAAAAGGGTGGGGGCCGCACAAGAATTGCCACAATAGGAGAAATTATTTTTATTAATCAAATTTAGCCAAATTACACTCATATGTTTTTCTCTAAAAGTTGCCTCCATATATTAACTAATGTCCTACTTCGGGTTTGCCCTTCGGAATGGTATTACACATAATTTCTGAGACAATATAGAGAAAGAGAAATGACATTGGTGGATTAGTACTTCAGCTGGTTTGAATGCAATGGTTAAGGTCTGGGAAAGCTGTCTTAAAAGGTGAGGCTGCATGCACAGCCTGGTGTTAAAAATCAAGGGGGCAGAGACTAGAGAAACAGGTCACATGATGAGTGGAAGCCACCAGGATAAATCGACAAAACAACTGGCTGAAATACATTATGGGGGGGAATGAAAACAGGGTACCAGTAGTTATTTCCCGAAATATAAGTATACTACCCACCATATTTCAGGATCCTAAAGCCTTGGAGAAAAAGTAATTCAAAAGCAGATAGTTTGGGGTTGCCTACACGAACGCTATCTAGAGCCCAAGCTGGTTTGTTGTCTCTCTTCCCTTTCTATAATACATACTCCCATCTTTGTCTCAGATTTCATCATTCTGGTGCTTAAAGCCCTTCAGAGTCTTCCCATTTTACTTAGAATAAAATTCACACGTCCTAACTCGGCCTACAAGTCCTTCCCGAGCTGGCCCCAACTCTCACCTCCTTCCCAGTTCTCCTCACTCGCTGTGCTCCTGGAACACTCTGTGTTGTTTCCTGCCTTCCAGTCTGCGCTTCCTTCCCCTGCTCTTTCCACTTCACCCCAGATCACCATAGATTAATTCCTTTATATCGTTCAGGTCTCAGCTCAAATGTCACCTCCTCACAGAGGCTCTCCCTGGTGACTCCACCTAAAGTAACTGCCTCCTTGCTGGTGAGGCCATGAGAATGCACCTCAGTCCTGCAACCACAGGAGTGCAACTGGCTGCTTTGGTGCCAAGGCCACATGTCCCCTGGTCTGCTCCCAGCCAACGACTAGGCATGGAGGGACAAGGAGACAGGCGCATTTCCAGGAGACACAGGACTTCTCTATCGGCTGACTTGGGCTCCAGGACTCCCCGACAGCCCTGCCAAACCTACCTCACTCTGCACACCAGTGTAGGATGCCTCCCTACCCAACCTTCCTTCCTTCTTTCTCACTCAGGGTCAGACCTGCATCGCAGGCTATAGCTCTCCCAGCCTCACCTGGCTCCTTCCTCATTTTCTTTCAAAGGTATTTCCTTCAGTAACATCTTTGCAAAGGAATCCTGTTTTCGAAGTGTCTGGGACCCTGATCAACATACTCACTATCATTTCATCCTGTTTTATTGTTTTAGCACTTACCACTAAAGAAAATGAGCTGGAATTGTACCCAGCAACTGGCATTTTACCAAGCCCTCCAGGTTGTTCTGACACATGCTCAAGTTTGAGAAACAATGACCTAATATTATACAGCTACTTAACAGTTAGAGTAAGAATCAGGACTCAGCCTTACAAATTCCCAGTTAGTTCACTTCTCAGCAACCAGAACTCTTAGTGGCATACACAATCCTTAGATTGGATTTCTGCTTAAGTACTGTGCTTTAACAAATGAATTTAAATGCTGATCAGTTCTTACACCTATTTCTTAAAATACAGATTTAATAAATGGACATTAACTCACCAGGTACTCTGAAGGAATTTCTAGAACATTGATTTGTTTGTGGCTGACTGCCTCCACGTATCTAACTGGCTTTGTAGCTTTTAGGCAGTAAAAATAAACTCAATTTATACCGGTCTCTTGTGAGGGAACCTTAATCTGATGTTCTGCCATTACTAACATGGAAAAGCAGTAGCACTATCAAGATGGCACCTGGCAAGATGAAATGGCACTGAAGTTTGTCACTATCGATTTCTATGTGGCAAAACCTGTGTCTTGTTTTCCTTTTTTTTCCTTTTAGATCAAGTGCTATGATCTCCAGGAAGAAATGCTAAGGTTTTGGTGAACAGTGATGGCTCAGCCACAGTGCAAGCAAGGATGATAAAGACAATTCAGATAGATTTTACAAGCAGGAAACGCATGGATGGTAAGGTATGAAATATTATCCGTCTGAGCATCCAAGATAAAAGGATATAACATGCTTTGCCACTTAGAAAAAGGAGGCAGCAAACTTTCCTTTCTAACATAAATCCTTAACCATCTTTCCCTGGGGGGAAAAAGTATATTAAATCTGGTCCATTATAACTTTAGATACAAGCCAGGGCTCTGAAAAGCAGGAATACTTAATCTGTTTTTAAGAATTGAGAAAGGGGACATCTACCATGATACACATTCAGAGATGGGGACCTTACTTACTAATTAATGACTTCTGGAGTGCAAAGTCTCTGTAGAATTTTAAAATGTTCTCCACAACTTTGCTTTTCTCTTACCTCTTGAGGTCAAGTATGTAAATATCCTTAACTCTATAATTAGCCTCTGAAATCTGAGTTTTATTATCCTAGCCAGAATCTCTTAAACTTTATAAATCAAAATAATAGGTTCTTGATATATTTTTCTAATCTCAAAAACTGAGGAATGTGAAGTTTTTCAGTTTCTCACAATTTTCTTACCAAGTGCAAAGGGTTTGGTCAAAGTGCATATCACACCTGCTTGAAGCTCTAGAGAGAACAACTTTGACAGGTGAAGTGAGGAGAAAAGCAATCCACTGCCTTCCTATAATACGGAAAAAAGATAAAACAGAAAGGCCTGGGATGACAGATTTTTCAAATAGAGTTTTAGTAAAAGGATAATATCTTTGGAAACTTAAACCATAATTTTACCTTGAACATGCATAGGGTAGAATGTCCTTGAAAGGGAGTATTTGAAAACTATAAAATGCTTATTCACTTTATAAGCATCTATTGAGTGATGACTATATTAGCGTAACATAATAGTGTAAAGTTATTAGAAATGGACAGTAACAGTATGTGCTAAGAGCTTTATGTGTCTTATGTCATTTAATACTCATAACAACCCTGTCGAACTGTTTCTATTAATACACTCATTTTACTGGGAAAAAAAGATGAGTCTTAGAAGAGTTAAGTCACTTGCCAGGGTCATGTAGCTAAGAAGGAGAGAGCTGAGTATTCCAACTCAGGTTGACTTGTAAGTGGCCCAGGTTCCTAACTACCACACTGTATTGTCTAAAACGGAGCCAAGTACCCTGAAGAATCTAATGCAAGTGTCAAGAAACTTTATTGGGAAAAACAGATGGGAGAGGAAATAACTATGATACAGTTGCTCAGCCAAGTGCAAAATGAGGGGCAAATATGTGAAATAAAAGCTTACTGGGTGGTGACAAATTCTAGAAGATATAGGGGTGAGGAAGGAAGACGACAGACTTTAACCTGGGGAGAGGCAAAAGATTCGGCCCACTTCCATTTGTTTCCTGGCTTCAACTTATATTTTTCTAAGACTTTTCCATGAAGCGAATTCATTTCTTTGCTTAAAAATATTTTTCCAGCACCTACTACGTGCCAATATAGTGAAAGACATAGATCTTGAGTTCATGAAGGTCATAGTCTAGCATGGGAAATTAGATCATTTTCAAAGATGGTCACAAAATGTCTCCCCTCACACATACTCTTCTTTAATATGATTCTGCCACTCCCACATTAAGAGATGGGGTCTTTCTCCAACCCCCTTGCATCTGGGAGGGACCTGTGATTGTGCTACTAATAGAATATGGCAGAAGTGACACTCCCAGCTCTGACCTGGCAGCTTCCATTTCCTGCCTTGTGGAAGCCAGTCACTATACATGGTCATTCTGAGACCACCATGCTGTGAAAGGCTAAACCACAGAGAGTGATGACATGGGATGTAGCAAGAAAGAAAAAGAGAGAGGACAAGGAGGAATGAGGCACCAGATGCATGAGGAAGCCATCATGGACGTCCAGCCTAGTTGAACTTTCAGATGGTCCAGCTCCCCCCACCAATGACTACACCTGCATGACAGACTCTAAGTAAGAACCACCTGGTGAAGCCTGGCGAACCCACAGAGCCATGAAAGATAAGAATAAACTGCTTTTAAGCCACTAAGCTTGAGGGTGGTTTGTTAGGAAGCAATGGATAATGGGAACAGAACTAAATACAAAATTACCTATTATGACTACATAATCAAACAAGAAGTAGAGTATAATTTGAGAGTCATAACTAGGAACGTACACTTGCCTTTAGAAAGCAGGTCTGAGGACTTCATGGAATGCTCTCTGCATAATTATGTTTAGGCTGAGACCTGAACAGTGAGTAGAAGAAAGAAAAACACAAGAGGGGAAGAGTTTGGGGCAGAAAGAACAGCCCAAGCAAAGTCCTGAGGATGGGGATGTGCTCATACATTCTAGGAAGGGAGAGAAGGTCAGTGACCAAACTGAACCAAATGGATAAAGATGGGTACAAGGTGGGCTGGAGAGTTGGCAGGGGCTAGCTCATCCAGAGCCTCATACTCCATGGTGGGCATTGGGAATGTAGCCTGAAAGCAATGGCGGCTAAGTCAAAGGAGTGAGAGATTTGTGGTCACTGTGGTTGTCATAGGTGGGTCTCTGAGGAAGTCATCGGGGAATCCAACTGGACATAAGGTCTTAGAGATTCAAGTGCAAGATGCCCTGAAATGAAACCCAACCTTTACCTTAGGCCTGGTTTTAGAGTCAGTCTTAAGCTAATCTTGTAAAATTAGCTGGGAAGGCCCCCCTCTTCCATCTGTTGTCTAGCTTCTGGAACAACTGGCATAAAACAATCAAAGGCTAGAAGATTTTTAGCTTAAAAGAAAAAAATGAATACAGTGTCCAGGGAATTAACTTTCTCAATTCAAACTTTACAACTCACACCATGAGTTTAAGTGTATAGTCCATAAATAAATCTGACCTAATTCAGGGAGCAGAATGTGGCTAAATGTAACAAACTAAAGAAAATACAACAAAAAGGATAACATGGTTTGAATAAGAAACTTAAATGAATTTTTCACATTTCATGTGGTTTTCTCAGGCCAAAGATGTGCACATAATAAGCTTCTTATACTTTAGCTTCTGCTTGAGCTTTCTGTTTCTGTCGGGTCTATAACTACATTTTATTTCATTTATATGCTTTTCTCTAAAATGTCCAGCGTTTTCATGACCACCGTTTAGATGGACAGATGCCCACTGCTGTCCCCACCCGACACACCAAACACGTAAGAAAGACGAGCTGCTTTCCAAGCACAGCTGTCGCAGATGGGAGATGCTCCGTGCCTCTGTCATGAGGAGGGCTGCTGGCCGGGAGGGTGGACACACTGTGCAAAAAGGGAGACCAGCACTTTGCTGCCTGAGGTAAGAAACGACAGGATGGTAAAATACCATGATGAGAAAAACTTGGAGAATATATATGTTGCTAACAGCACTGGGATCTGAGTGGTCTTCATTCGTTTTGTTTGTTTGCTTTTATGTATTTTCTAAGATAAACAAGAATCACTCTAGCAATAATTATTAAAAATCATAGTAGCAGTGTATTACTAGGATAGTATTAAAATGGCGTTTGGCCAGAGCAGCCGGGGAAGTTTGAAGTCTCTCCACGTTGACGATGAGGCTGCCGCACGAGGCCAATGAGGGAAATGATGTGCCAACAAAGCAAGCCAAGGCACCATGACCTCTATTATTAGCTGAGGTGAGAGCCCCCAAGTCTTACTAAGATAGAATGACTGTGTGGAGGGATTCTTTACCCAAGTTAAGTTAAAGACATTAGAACATCGTCATTGCTCCCTCTACCCCCAAGCTCCAACTCCAACCGTCACTCCAAGTTTCTGAACTTACCACTCCACTGAAACCAGAAAACCTCACTTTTCTGTCGTAACAGAAAAAGTAGCCAGAGAGAAAGACAGAGAAGATATGGTCTTTACTCCATAAATGGCTACAACTTGTCCAGTCTACATGGGTCCTGCTTTTCTCTGGGGCTAGATACAAAAGAAGGAGGTGGGAGAGAAATGATGAGGATGAAAAGTAGAGAGAAAATGGATTTGCCAGCTTTAGGGAGAAGCTTGGTTTGTGTTACCCACAGGCAGGATCTCTGAAAGGGACCTTAAGTTGCGTGGGCTCTGGATCCTCTAAGTGGACACCGTGACTCCACCCACAGGACACGGGCCAACGAAAAGTGCTTTAATGAAACAAATCAGATCCACAGCTTTCCTCCTCCTCATAGCAGTTCTGAGTTAAAAGCAGACATGAGGAAAAGAGTGATTAGGCACATGTGTGGCGATGGATTGTAATTAGTCTTTGGGTGGTGAACATGATGTAATCTACACAGCAATCGAAATATAATGATGTACACCTGAAATTTATATAATGGTATAAACCAATGCTGCTGCAGGAAAAAAAAAATAACATCAGTAATGCATAGTAGACATCATCGTGTTAAGTCAAAAAGTATAGTTATTTTCCATATAGTTAAAAACCGACTATGTTGTAGATACAATTATAACGTAAAACATGAAGGTAATCCTATCAACATGTGAAAAATAGTTATTTTCATGTCAAAAAAAAGTGGACGGGAGGAACTTGTTCTCCGAAAGGCCATAATGTGATTAAAGGAAACACATTAAACATACACACACAGATATTTGCAAAATTATCCTAATTGCTACCTATAAAAAAATATTCAAACAATCTTCCATGTGTTTAGAGTGCCTGATGGTCTTGGTCTAAAACATACAAAATGAGTGAAAATAACTCAATGTTGCACTATAAATTGATAATAACAGTGAAAAAACCAAGCGTCATTTCACCTCAATCATCTACTTTGTCCATCCATGAAAATCCATAAAATGAGTCCTACAAAACAGAGCAAACAAGCTCTTCCTTTGACTCTAATTTGAGGTACTTTTGAAACATTAATATCCATCACTTCAATATATGGAAAAAGTAAAGTCTAGAAAATTCACATATTCATATTTTGTTATTGACTTTTGCATTAAAAAAAGTTTTTTACAAAAGATCTTGTTTGCATTCTCGCTGGATACGAAGTTTAGAGCAACCACAAAGTGGCATATATTTAGTACCAAATCCAAAATCTGACAGGCACATTTTTATTACAAGATATACTAGATTTTTATATGATTTTTATATTTCATCACAGATTCTGTTTACTGGGTTGTTTTATAATGGAATATCCTTGATGATAATAATTTGGTTTTACGCAACTGTCACTATTACAGTAAGATTTATTTGGTTTAATTATAAACAGACCCTCTGAAGACATCTGTTAATGTCTAAGCATCTATTTGTTAATTGGTTTTTATTTAACATTTGGGATCATTTAGCAAAATGCTTTGTTTGGGGACTTTTCATGAAAGCCAACCAAGCTCAATTAAGTGAATAAGTCACCAGAGTACCATTTTAAGGAGGGACAGGAAGAATAAAATTCTTCCATGTTTAGGTCTAGGGTTAACAAAAGAAACATTTAATATAGTCCCGTGTCTCCAAAAGGGAAATAAAAACACCATAATTCCAAATCCATTTGTAAACTTACACCACAAAAATATGAAAGATGATCACATTATGGTGGCAGCAAAAAATAGGAAACCAGCTTAATGTCTTACTAACAGGAAAATGACTAAAAATATAAGTGTGTATTCACATAATGGAACACGATAAGGTTGCTAAAAATCTTGTTGCAGAAAAATATTTAATGATGTGGTAAAATGATTTCAGTATATTGTTAAGCAGAAAAAATGGTATGATTCTAACTTTAATTTAAAACATATGTGTATTTATACAGAAAGAAAAAAGAAAACACTGGAAGCAGACAGGACAAATTTTAATAATAGTTATCTATGAGCTAAGGAATTATGGGTGATTTTATTTTATTTTATATGCTTTTCTACATTCCAAATCCTCCATAGTGACGATATACTAAATTATGGCACTGAATTATTTAGGAAATGAAATAACTCTCATAGACACTTCTGAAGTTTTTTAAAAATTAGTAAAATAGAAATTAATTTGTAATTCTAAAAAGAATGAGTGTTAAGGCCTATGTTTTAGACACTTAAAAAAAAATTTCTTCTGTACCAAGCTCCCAGGTAATCATTACGACTCTTGACTACAAAGTAAAATGTGTGTAAGAATAGACATTGCATACTTCATGTTGGGCTGAGTTTTGATCCAACTTCTTCTTCTTCATCTTTTTTTTTTTTTGGTGAGGAAGACTGGCCCTGAACTAACATCTGTGCCAATCTTCCTCTATTATTTTGAGTATGTGAGATGCCGCCACAGCATGGCTTGATGAGCAGAGAGTAGGTCTGTAGCTGGGATCTGAACCCACAACCCGGGGCCACCAAAGTGGAGCATGTAAACTTAACGACTATGCCACTGGGCCAGCCCCTCATCTAACTTCATTTAAAACAAAAAGTTTCATTTGGGAAAGACATAAGGTTTTTACTACAGATAATTTCTGAGTATGAGCACTACCAGTCCTGAACTCCTCCAGGCTTGCCAAGCATAGCAACAAAGTTGGGAATGGTGTTTAATTAAAACCATGAGCTTTAAAGAAATGGAACACAGTTCACCTCTTGACTTATCAAGCCTGTGCTGCTATTCCCTAAAAGGGGCTACTACTGGTGTCCTTAGTGATGGAAAATGGGAGAAAGTCAGCATCATCTTCTTGTGGTCATTACTTTTTAAGAATATACTGTCAAAGAAACTATGACAGACGCAGGGAAAACACTGACATACTAAATTTTCTAGAATTTATATTTCCTTTACATTGAAGAGAGGAATATTGCTGCACTGAAATGCTTCAAACTGACGCCCCAAAAGGAAGCCTATTTGCTGTGTTCTTGCTGGTCTTGTTCTGTGGATTTCTGTGGATATACCAAGTAGCTGACAGGATGAGAGAAGACTTGATTTGCTTGGTGACTATAAAAGGGTTTGGCTCCCTTTCAGAAGAACATGCCAAATCTTCCTATATTTGCTCAAATTTAACTCGCCTTATGATAATCCTTTCTTTTATATTTAGAACGTCTCACCCAATTCTAAAATACTGTTGCATATAAAATTTTAAAATAGTTTTGTTAAGGAGCTTCGCTTAAAATCAGATTTAAACACATACTTTACTGGCTTAATGTAGCCCTCCTTTAATTTATTTTTAACAGTTTGTGTTTTTTTTTAATGCCCCATACAAGCGTCCAGGTCATTCACAATTCTTACAGGCTTATATCTGGTCCTTTTCCACTCCATAGATTTCTCCCTCAGCAACAGCCCATTCTGGGCCTAAGAAAGGAAAGAGAAAAGGTGTGTGGGTTGGGACTTCATCTCTTTCCAGTTCCTGACACAGTGGTCCCCACAAACCACATATAACCAGCCTCCATCTTCTCCATCCTCAGAATTGCTCATCCATGACAAGGCACAGACATCGATCAGCAACTGCCATTGCCTGCCCTGGTCTGAAAAGATGAGAGGAGGAAAAGGAGAGAGCGTGCTACTGAGCAATGAATAAAAGCATAAGTATCACGGACCGCTAATATGTGCACTGTTAAGCACAAGAGTCTTAACAGTCATGCCTCTTGCATCAGTGCAACATAAGTAAATGACACACGTAATCAACAAAATGTCACCAAGCACATTACGCTGAGCGCCCGAGTCACAGCTTGCAACCCCTGACATGGTATGAGTGTTTAGTTAAGTCTTTACATTAGGTGTAACCTTACATAAAATGTAACCTTTACATTAAGTGATCTGCTGAGCATGGAGCACTCAAATTCTGTCACCAATCATGATATACTTTGCACAAACATTTCCCTCCATCTACTCCCCTACAGCTGATTTTTTTTTCTTTTGAAAGTCCACACAATTATGAATCTGAAATACTGTCCAGAAGGATAACTTCATTGGGATATGATATGGAAAACTCTCTTAGAACCAAGAATTTCAATATGCATTCTCTCTCTGTGCAAAGCTCATTTTGCCTCTTTGCTTAATGAAATTTCAATTGGACTCAATTTATGTGTTTATGTGCAACTAATTCATAAACATAATTGTTTTTTAACATTTTTATTTTTTTCCTTTTTCTCCCCAAAGACCCCCAGTACATAGTTGTATATTCTTCGTTGTGGGTCCTTCTAGTTGTGGCATGTGGGACGCTGCCTCAGCGTGGTTTGATGAGCAGTGCCATGTCTGCGCCCAGGATTCGAACCAACGAAACACTGGGCCCCCTGCAGCGGAGCGCGCAAACTTAACCACTCGGCCACGGGGCCAGCCCCTCATAAACATAATTTTAACTTTGAATGTTGTATATGTTGATTCTGAGAAACCAAGAGTCAGGTCCATATTCACGGAAGATATGAACCAGGTTTACCTCATAATATTCTCCTAGCCATGGAGCCATCAAGTTAGGTTATGCACGAAGACTGATGACTTCAGGTAGCATGAGCCAATATTTCTATAAGTTAAGAGAAGGGAAAACTGAAATTCATAGATGTTTTTATTAGAGGGATCTAAATGATTTCATACTCAGCAAAATGGGGATAACTGGTTCCAGCTCTGGATTCTGGTCTTATGGAGAAGCCAAGAGCATCTTCTTGTGATTGATTTGAAGACATCTCTAAAACCAGAATAACTACTTATAATGTTCCCTGGCAACTGTCATGATTCCTGAAATCTCCAAATGCATGCAAACCCCCTTGTATCTAATTGTAGGCCCACATTCCCAGGGTAAGGCCTTCTGCATCACTCATTCTCAAACTCTCAAATGCACCGTGGCATTACCTGAAGAGCTTAAAAAATCTGGAGCCTCAGTACACCACCCCCCACCCCCACCCCACTGCTCCATCCCAAGAGACTCTGATTTAATCATCCTGGAGTATGGACTGGGGGTGCGGAGTGTTAAAAGCTCCCCAGCGGCTTCTAATCAGCAACCAAGTAAGAGAATACAAGTCCTTATAAACTATCTCTATTCGGCTGTTTTTTTGTTTTTTGGGTTTTTTTCCTGAAGGCAAAGTCTAGATCCTATGCATCTCTTTACCCCAGTGTCCTCTCCAGCACCTGCTTCACAGCATTGCTCACAGTCACTATCTGTAACTAGAAAACGGGTGAAACAGTTTTTTGAAGTCTCTCTGGCCCACGTACTGTAAGCTCCATACAAGGAGGATGGTCTCTGTTTTGTTCACTATGTCCTTGCGCCCCACAGAGTGGCAAAAACATGGCACACAATAAATAATTATTTTGTTGAATAAAAAAATTAACTGTACCAAAGTGAAAGAATAAAATAAATATTAATAACAGCAGCTAACACTTATATAGGCACTAACTATGTGCCAGGAAGTGGTCTTAGGGCTTTACAAATATTAACTCATTTATTCATTACCACAAACCTAAGGTAGGTACTAAATCATGTCCATTTTACAGATGAGGAAACCGAGGCATAAACAGATCAAGTAAGTTGCCAAAGGCCACACTCTGGTGACAGAGCCAGGATTCAAATTCAGGCATTCTGGCTCTAGAGTCCCTTTTCTTACCAACTAGATCATATAGTGCCTGGCTGGTGGGAGAGGCTGCCCAATTGCCCCTTTATATAAATGAGCACCGCAACAACCATCACCCTGAAGAGAGCCACCACTGCCACTATTTTTATGGAATGACTACCAAGTGCCAGGCATTGTGCTAAGCACTTCACGTTAATACCACAAGTTAACTCCACTTTACAGGTTAAATAAGCGATGTACAGAAAGGTGAGTCACCTTGTCCAAGGTCACATAGCTGGGAACTGGCAGAGATGGAATTCAACTAAGCTCTGTCTGTCACTGAAGTTTAAGCTCTTAACAACCATATAATGATCCTTCTGATTGGAGAGTTGCATATTTCAAAAAAAAAAACCTATATAATATACATGACAAGAATACTCTGCAACAATGTCTAAGGCCCTGGTTTTCCCTGCTCTCTTCATACCTTCACTAGCATGTTATCTAGTCTCATCTCATACATCAAAGTCACAGAATACACACATTTAATTTATATGAATCCAACTATACAGGCATAGGGACAGAACAAGCAAGTGGGCAAGAAAGAGTCAAAATTTTAGATGAGTAAAATCTAGTGGGTGACCCCACTGCCATTCCATTCAAAAGACACAAGTCCCTGAGGGAGATGAGAGGAAATGAGCACCTATTATTCATGCCCAAATGCTCAGTGGATCAGCATCTGACCACACTACTGGGACTCCAGTGTCGAAAGATATTAAAATGTATGGGGAACATAAAGGAATTTTTCAAAGCTAATTTTGGTTATAACTATTGTTTGCCTTATGAATTTTCCTTAGAGCCTCCCCCTTACGTGGGCTGCTACCCAACTGTGCAGTGGCTACAGCGAGCTAGAGAGGAACAGCAACTGCACACAGGAATGAAACCTAGCTCACATCCTGTTTCTTGGCTGGCCCAACCTCTAAGGAAGACGTGAGCACTCAATAATATGATACAACCTCAGAGGTGGAAGAAATAGCAAAAGCTCTCTGATTGATAGTGAAAATATGAGTTAAAAGAAAAGCATGCAAATCTGAATTCCCCAATGGTAGCTGACATACAGATGATCTGTCTAATAGTGAGAGAATGTTATATGCTGCTTCTCTGACCACGGAGTTATCTATAAAAGGAGCTTGGACAAAAAGCCATCAAGATAAAGAAACATTAAATTTTACTTTTAAAAAAACAGTGATTTTTCATTTCTCATGTGTACCAAAGAAAAATTCAGTGAAGACTTTATGTGACATATCATTATGACTCAATTTTCTTGACCAAATAAAAGCTGATTCAATATCTCCATCTTGAAACACTCTATTATCGTGACATTTGTCAAATACTGAACGATCTGACCACTTCCCTCTTCCCCGAATAGCATGAGGAACCCAGATAACAAATGAAGGTTGCACTTTGAAACAAGAACAGACAGGAGACGGAATCACAGCAAAACACTTACAAATCAAGAGAGGGTAAGAAGAGTACCAAGAGAGACTAAATGCACAGAGAACAATAATAGGAAAGAAATCTCTTGAGAAAAGCAGCAGCTGATGGTAACTCAATCGGGCCCAAAATGAATTAGCTCTCCTTCAGTGACTGAGCTGGAGATGAGGGAATTTCATAAAGTTGATCGAAAGTCACTTGAAAATGATACCACCTGTTGTTGTACTCTACTTCAAGAGAGAGAGGAAATAAAAGCTCTCTGTGAGGGAGCTGATCTTCAGAAAAATGCTTTTATAAACCCAGTTGATGAATTTTACTTATTAACTAGAAAATTATCCTTAATTCTCATTTGGATGGAAAAGTCACTTCAGAACCGAAAAAGTCCCTCTGAGTTTCAAGGAGAGATTTTGACATAGAAATAAGAGAATAAAACTCTTAAAACACAGGGGGATATAAAGTGTATGGGGAAAGAAATCAAAAGAAGCGTTAACAGAGTGGAGCCCAGGCAACTCCATGGCACAACAAGAGTATACTGGGGGCAAATTCTCAGTTTTGTGAGAAGAGTACAAATGGTATATTACACAGGACTTGCTGGGTTGTCAGCAACAGAAAATAAATTCTAACTTTAGAAGGGGACAGAAAAGAAGGAATTAGCTCATAAGTGGGGAGGATGCTGAAGTAGCTCACAGAAGAAGTTACAGAGCTACAGCAATCATTCTCAAATTTCAACAAACGTGAGAATCAACTGAAGGGCTTGTGAAAACAGACTGCCGGACCCCATCCCAGAGGTTTTGATTCAGTAGGTCTGAGGGGGCCAGAGATTTTGCATTTCGACAAAGGTTCCAGGTAATGCCACTTCTGCTAGCCCAACCTCCTGAGAACCTCTGAGTTACAGAAACCTGGGATATTGGAACAAAGCCCTGTGATAAGGGAGTCTCCATCACACACCTTTGCTCCTGGATCTCACTCAAGCTTTCACTAGCGGGAGGAAATACAGCCTCTTGGACCACGTTGTTTTAGTTCATGATTCTAGAGACAGGTGGCCTTTTTTTATGAGCTTCAGGAGGAAAGCCCCAGGGAAGCCTCTGACCAGACTGAGGGGCTTCTGCCAGGAGACCATGCCTGAAAGCAACCTGCTATGTCAGGGATGCAGTAAAGCAACTGGCCTGGCCTAGGTGTAAGGGTACTCTGTGGACAGGAGTGGGGAAGAGAGGATCCAAGTGGCGATACAGAGAGGGAAAGAAAGCATCACCAAGATTACAGGGAATGGGAGAAATATCCCCAAAGAAACAAGAGAAAGAGTCAAGGGAAAGCAAGATGAGCAAAAAACAATTATCATAGCACATGATACAGTTCACTTTAGCATCAAGATGTACAATCAAATTCACTTATGATACTGTTTTTACACACAATGTATCATCTATTTATATGCATAGAGCAGTGCTTCTCACATGAGCTGTGGTGAAGGACCAATTTTTTAAAAAATTCCCTGACAGTCACTGAGTGATATTTTTGTAAAATATGATCATACAAAATGCTAGAAAATTGATCTTCCACTTGCATGTCATGGCAATGGCAATTTGCAATAAAAGTTTCTAGACACTTACTCTGTTTCTGTACTTATTAAGGACTTAAACAGCCCATGAGCTGGTGTGTCAACACAAACAGGCACGGGTCCAATACCCAACTCTGAGCATCACTACTCTGGACCACCATGGGCCAGGAGAGGAGGTCTCTGCCACAACTACTAAACTCATTAAGAAAATGAATGAGCAAAGCTGTGTTCCAATAAGACTTCATTTATAAAAACACGCATTGGGCAGGATTTGGTCATGAACTGTAGTTTGCCTACCCCTGCTCTAAGGCAGTGCTTCTCCTACTCTTAATGTGCATAGGAATCATCTGGGGATCCGGTGAAAACAAAAATTCTGACTCCCAGGGTCTGGGGTAGGTAAATTACTAACAGCCGTCAAGTTGATGTCAACACTGATGGTCCATGGCCCATATTTTGAGTAGCAAGACTCAACAGACTCCTCTCTGTGAAGCCGGATACTAGGATATGACCTCAAATATAATAGGTGCTTTATACTGGGTCTTCATTGAGCTTAAGAAAGTCTATATCTGTCAGTCAGGCACATGTCCTCCACTGCTTTAAAG